GTTCACTTGCAGAACGCAAGCTTCTAGAGGGCACATAACTCTGAAGTAATGAATTTAGGTAAAGGGGTGCAGAGCCAGTGATGGTTTTGTAGGCAAACATCAATGCCTTGAATTTTATGCGAGCAGATATTGGTAGCCAGTGCAAATTGATGAGCAGAGGTGTGATGTGCGGTCTTTTCGGCTCATTAAAAATTAATCTTGCAGCGGCATTTTGGATTAATTGTAGAGTGTTGATAGAACTGACTGGAAGACCAGCCAAGAGAGCATTGCAATAGTCCAGCCTGGACAGAACAAGAGCTTGAACAAGGGGTTGTGTTGCATGTTCTGAAAGAAAGGGCCTGATCTTCCTAATGTTGTATAAAGCAAATATGCCGGACCAGGCAGTTTTAGCAATGTGGTCTGAGAAATTCAGCTTATCATCAATCACAACTCCAAGGTTTCTAGCTGTTTTTGAAGGAGTTATGGTTGATGAGCCTAACTGGATGGGGAAATTTTGATAAAGTGATGGGTTTGTTGAAACCACAAGCAGTTCTGTCTTAGCCAGGTTGAACTGAAGGTGATGGTCCATCATCCAACAAGAAATGTCTGTTATACATGCAGAGATGCGAGCAACTATCGTCAGATCATCAGGATGGAATGAGAGGTAGTTGAGTGTCATCAGCATAGCAGTGATATGAAAAGCCGTGTTTCTGAATGACAAAACCTAGTGATGCCACATAGACAGAGAAGAGAAGTAGTCCAAGAACTGAGCCCTGAGGCACCCCAGTAGCTAGATGTTGCGACTTGGACACCTCACCTCTCCAAGACACCTTGAAGGACCTATATGAGAGGTAAGACTCAAACCACTGGAGTGCGGGTTCCTGAGATGTCATTTTCCAATAGGGTTGACAGGAGAATCTGGTGGTTCACCCTATCAAAAGCAGCAAACAGATCACATTATGTTATTAATACGTGTGAAACAACGCCAATCTATTGGCCCACCTGGCCCATGACGTCATAGGCGGGATGCCCGGAAGTATAAAAGGGCACAGGGGAATACATCATCCACTTTAGCTGTCTGAAGGAGACGTAGACAGGCAGGCTGAAGGCATGGCAAAGGGGTGCAGCATCTCGTTCCCTCTCGGGGAACCATGGTTACATGCGTAACCCGAGACGTTCCCCTTCTAGGGAACTCAACGCCGTGCCGAGGCGCATGCCTGTCCACCTGGTGGGAAAGCACCAAGGAAGCGACAAACATAAACAAAGCCTTTCCTCAGAAAGGGGCCATGTCACTGATGCCACGGGCCGCTCACGCAAACTTGGCAGAAACGGTGGAACCCGACTAGATCAAGGGGAACATCCAAGTTAAGAGCACAGCTATCCTCAGATAGCTATGCTATGTGAGCAGAACTAGCCTGGATACACAAGACCACTGAGGAGGCGAACTAGAAAGCCTCTAAAGGAGCTCAAAAGATGCTACTTAAATCCAATCTAAAGAGAGTAGCTGCTGAGCTAGAACACGGCTATCCTCAGATAGCTATGTCCCTAAGGTCTTATGTAGGCTTGTGGACCAGAATAACATAGCCAAGATAGCCTTCCTACAGAGCTGCCCAGGCCACAGAGAGTGGGCTATCTACTTACTACCCTAGCAGGGGAGATAGGGTAGTAACTGTCTAGGTGAGGGCTCAAAGAGACCGCTACTTAAAGACCCTAAAAAGGGGAGCAGACACTGAGCTAGCACACAGAAATCCTCAGATAGCTATGCACCTAGGAAGGGCTACCAGAAAGGGAACCGACTGGAACTACCCAGACCACAAAGAGTGGGCTGTCTACTTGCAACCCTAGCAGGGGAGACAGCACTGCCTAAGTAAGGGCTCAAGGAGATTGCTACTTAAACACCTTAAGAAGGGGAGCAAACACCGAGCTATCAACACCTAGTCCCGCACAGCTACTAAATAACCAGGTAAACCCTCCTATGAGGATGCCCAGACCACAAAGAGTGGGCTGTCTACTTACGACCCAGAAGGGGAGACAGCACTGTCCAGGTAAGGGCTCAAAAGACTGCTACTTAAAACCCTAAGCAGGGGAGCGATCACTGAGCTAGCACATAGATATCCTCAGATAGCTAGGCTGTAGGAAAAGGGACCACTCCATAGGAGGGCTATGCAGGAAGGCTATCTGGGCTCTGACGCGGATTTGGTACCTCCTTAGTATAGCCATCTGAGGGTGGTTATATTCCAGCCATTGGTATGGCGGGTTGGGCTTACCTGAATACAGCTATCTGAGGCTGTGTTTTCTGAAGTCCACAGTCAACGCAGCCATCTACCAGGAAATTTTAGAGCACTTCATAATACACGAGTTTCACAATTTGAGTTGAATTACTGAGATAAATGAACTTTTCCACGACATTCTAATTTATTGAGATGCACCTGTATGTTGATTTATGTATCTAGTAAGAAAGACTCATGAGCAGCAACCTTTTTATTTTGGGTATGTCATTTGTGTCTCCATGCTGAAAATGGGGGGTGACAGGTAAGGGGTTAAGGAGGTCCCCAATCCGTGTCAGTCCCACAGTAGGCTAACAAAGCACCAATGAAAACAAAAGTGGTTAACATTCAACCCCTTCTTTTTCATCAGTATTATTTGTGATTTGAATTTTGTGAACAGGGAGCTTCTCTTTTGCTGTGTTATAAGCCGGGTGCTTTCATTTTCGAATTTGCGATCTTGGTGTCACGTTTTATAAGAAAAAATAATTGTCTCATTTGCTTACATGCATCTATATACATATTTACACATACATATTTCATTTTTTAAGACTAAAACAAAAGATGGATTCATTGTTATTCTTAATTAAAAAGCATAACAACAATACAGTACGATACAATGACAAACTAGCTTACAAAAGGTTTATTAACAAAAATGAATAAGACGAGGCATGGCATACACCACATGCTGTATTATATACCGACTAATAAATTACAGAATATTTAGCAAACACTGAGGAATCAAATAAATAAAAAAGAGAGCCTCCATAGCATAACGTGAGGTAAACAGCAAAGATAAGCTTTTCAAAATGAAAACAAAAAGAAATTCATCCATTGTTTCCTCAATATTCGCTTGCTGCATGCGGCGAGTATAAACCAGGCTCTACACTCCATAAGCGCTGCGCAGTTCAAACAAGCAGCACGGTTTTGTTTGCCTTTTGATGTTTCTCATATGCAACAGAAATTCAGCGCTTATGAGTTAAAAAATGCGGTGGTCACGCCAGTGCGACTGCACACAAAATTTAGTCGCACGGGCAGAAAGCAAAATGCACCCATTTGGTCGCACTCTGGAGCCCTGTGCAGTACAGTATTTATTTATCCTCAGTTGTTCAAATTGCGGTAATCGAATACGGTTATAGTGATAATTAAAATATGAAATGGTAATACTAACCGTGGGGTATTTTATCACGATTTATCGTCAAACAGGTAATCGTTACAGCCCTACTATTGACCAAGATCTCACAAGAGGGAGGATCCAGACCATCAGTAAATGATTCTCTAAAGAGCGAACACAAACATAGTCCAAGATCAAGCCTGATGTAAGCAGTAGGCATAGCACTTGAGGGCTGGACACAGCTATCCTCGAATAGCAGTTCTCTCAGATAAGGCTGAAGATTGCCCAGGCCACGGAAGTGGGAAGTGGGTTTAAAACCCCGAAGGGGAGACAGCACAGTTCAGGCAAGGGGCTCACAGAGACCACAATCTACAAAACCCTAAAAGGGAATCGGTCTCCGCGCTGGAACACAGCTATCCTCGAATAGCAGATTCCTAAACAAAGACTTCAGCACTTACTTGAGAACTTGTGCCAAGGGGAACCCAACCTAGTTATTAAAATCTAGGCTATAACATAGCTGCCCTCAGACCGCCATATTCCAGAGCAAAAAGATATTTCCCATAACCACTCTAGGTGCTGAAAGCCCTGGGAGAGAAAACTCGCAAGCCTCTCTCCACAGAATATTTAAATATATTCACGCCCAGCGAGGCTCTCCACTAGGGTTAGGAACAAGGGTTCTTATTCAGAACCGGTTCTGTTTTTTTAAAAGAACCGGAACCGTGAGCAATTTCTAAGTTTCGGTTCTGAAAACGGTTCTGGTGCGACGCGTGACCAAGTGCTGTGAGCAGCCTTGCACTGGCGTTTCCCGTAAAGGATGTCACAAACCAAATAACAGAAACGCCGCCCTGCCTCTTTAATTACTGAGCACATTGTTTCCCATAACGCACACTCCACAGATGCATACACGATCCTTACACGATCAAGGTCCAGAAACATAGCAAGGAGATCGGTAAAATAATGCATGTGACATCAGGGGTTCAACCGTACTTTTACGAAGCTACAAGAATACTTTTTTTGCACAAAAGAAAAAACTAATGACTTTATTCAACAATTCGTCTCCTCTGCATCACTCTAGCGCCATTTTGGAGAATATCCACTGAACATAAACGGCGTATGCTTCTGAGTCACGAAAACAACATATCCACGTGGCACAGCTGACACAGAACAGTGTACGCCGTTTACGTTCAGTGGATATTCTCAGAGAGCTCTTGGGATGCATCATAAATATCTTAATTTGTGTTCCCAAGATGAACGGAGGTCTTATGGGTTTGGAAGAACATGAAGGTGAGTAATTAACGACAGAATTTTCATTTTTGGGTGAACTATCCCTTTAACTTCCTGTATGTTCACTTTGAGTTTGTCTGGTCTTACGTCTACATGTCTTAAATGTTGCTGTGCTACTTTGTGTTTGGATTTACCCTTGTTGGATTAAAGACCTATGATATATAACCTTTCATCTTCATTGTGCATTCTTTAACACAGCGTAGCCTGACACTTACAGACTTGTGTAGGTAGAGTCTGAGTGAGAAGCATTTAGGTTCAAACGTGTGAAGAACTGTTTAAGTATTTGAATGTGTCTTTGAATATTTATCTGTAATATTTGAATTGCTGCTTGTGCAAAACTTGGGTAGGGATGATTTTTCCAAGTAGGACACATTTCTGGAACTTATTTTAACATTTAAGGAGGACATTTTTTAATTTATCTTTACAATATGTCGAGTATTGTTGATGCATAACTCACTTAAGGCATATTGTGGCCCAGATAATGTCTATTTTTGGTTTATTTGGTGCATTATTATCTAAAATGTGGCTGTGCAGTGGCCTGCTTGTGGACCACTGCCAAGATGCCACCATTCCATGCAGCATGTGGGCCACATGAGGAATTTGGGGAAGACCAGGGTTTGAATAAAAATCAACTGTGGCCCACATTAGGGCCAGTTTTGGTTTATTTGGTTGGCTTACATGCGGCAATGTTAAGGTTTGCTTGAGGCCCAAATCTGGCAAACAGGACCGGACTGCCCAAATGCCATTGCAAGGTGTTGGATCTGGGCAAGAATTAAAATAAATGTGGACAGGATTTGGGCCAGTTCTGCTTTATTTTATTTATTTATTGTCATGGCTGACATGCTGCCTTCCTATGGCTTGCTTGTGGCCCAAATTAGGCAAACAGGAGTGGACCACCCAAATGCCATCATTCTACACAGTATGTGGGCCGGAGCAAGGTGTTGGATCTGGGCCGGATCTTGGCCAGAATTAAAGAGAATATCCACTGAACATAAACGGCGTATGCTTCTGAGTCACGAAAACAACATATCCACGTGGCACAGCTGACACAGAACAGTGTACGCCGTTTACGTTCAGTGGATATTCTCAGAGAGCTCTTGGGATGCATCATAAATATCTTAATTTGTGTTCCCAAGATGAACGGAGGTCTTATGGGTTTGGAAGAACATGAAGGTGAGTAATTAACGACAGAATTTTCATTTTTGGGTGAACTATCCCTTTAACTTCCTGTATGTTCACTTTGAGTTTGTCTGGTCTTACGTCTACATGTCTTAAATGTTGCTGTGCTACTTTGTGTTTGGATTTACCCTTGTTGGATTAAAGACCTATGATATATAACCTTTCATCTTCATTGTGCATTCTTTAACACAGCGTAGCCTGACACTTACAGACTTGTGTAGGTAGAGTCTGAGTGAGAAGCATTTAGGTTCAAACGTGTGAAGAACTGTTTAAGTATTTGAATGTGTCTTTGAATATTTATCTGTATTATTTGAATTGCTGCTTGTGCAAACCTTGGGTAGGGATGATTTTTCCAAGTAGGACACATTTCTGGAACTTATTTTAACATTTAAGGAGGACATTTTTTAATTTATCTTTACAATATGTCGAGTATTGTTGATGCATAACTCACTTAAGGCATATTGTGGCCCAGATAATGTCTATTTTTGGTTTATTTGGTGCATTATTATCTAAAATGTGGCTGTGCAGTGGCCTGCTTGTGGACCACTGCCAAGATGCCACCATTCCATGCAGCATGTGGGCCACATGAGGAATTTGGGGAAGACCAGGGTTTGAATAAAAATCAACTGTGGCCCACATTAGGGCCAGTTTTGGTTTATTTGGTTGGCTTACATGCGGCAATGTTAAGGTTTGCTTGAGGCCCAAATCTGGCAAACAGGACCGGACTGCCCAAATGCCATTGCAAGGTGTTGGATCTGGGCAAGAATTAAAATAAATGTGGACAGGATTTGGGCCAGTTCTGCTTTATTTTATTTATTTATTGTCATGGCTGACATGCTGCCTTCCTATGGCTTGCTTGTGGCCCAAATTAGGCAAACAGGAGTGGACCACCCAAATGCCATCATTCTACACAGTATGTGGGCCGGAGCAAGGTGTTGGATCTGGGCCGGATCTTGGCCAGAATTAAAATCAATGTGGCCCAGATTTGGGCCAGTTCTGCTTTATTTGGTTTAATCATGGCTGATATTGGGCCTTCTTTTGGCTTGCTTGTGGCCCAAATCTGGCAAACAGGAGAGGACCGCCCAAGGCCATCATTCCACGCGGTATGTGGGCCAGATGAAAGTGTCAGGTGTGGGCCTGATCTGGCCCTCAGGAATTTTTCTATATGGGCTGTTTCCGCCATCTCCTGAGAAACTTAGAGGTGATTGGGGCTTCCAAGTAGGACACCAAATGTCATCACAACATAATTCATAGTGATCAACAGATAGGAAACTATAAATAGGATGTAAATATAAGACAAAGACCCATACAGGGCACTTTTGAATATGGGTCATTATCATCCTTTATTCATGTTTGTCAGCAACTGCATGCAGTGAAAGATTATGGTCAGGTCTGAGTCAGGGTGGGCTTCATGAAATGCTTTAAAGTTTATGTTAAAGTTCATAAAATGCAAGTCAACTGCTACTTGACTTGCATTTTATGAATCACCAAGGACCATGGTTTCAGCTAAAAATCTTCTTTACACTGCTAAAAAAATAACCTACATCTTGGAATGCCTGTGGGCAAGTAAATTAACAGAAAATGTTCAATTTGGGTGAACTGTCCCGTTAATGTTAATTATTTGCTTATGTTCACAGTGGTTTAATGAATAAGTTCATACAAATTAACCACCAATTCACCAAAATGTAAAACAATTATGAATGGCCAAGAGAGTGTTGGGCCCTGCTATCTAAGCTTATGTGTACCTCTGGTATTTTTGTTGTGAAAATAAAAACAAAAACTATAATCTCAGTTTAATGTTATATATTTTTATTTATATCTAAATGTAAAAATGTAAGATTAAATGGTGCCCCCTAGTTGAGAACCACTGATCTAGAATAGAAGGAATGTTTCATAATATTTCTGAAAAACAAAATGCTGTTCAAGAGCATTTTAAATGTGACTCTCAAATGACATTACATTTAGACCCCAGAATCCTCTAAAACTTTAGTTATCATAGATCTGAATCATTGTCTTTTCTCTTTCTGTCTTCAGCCTGTCTAAATGCAGTATTACAGAGGAACAGAGTCTCATCCTGACTCCAGCTCTGAAATCAAACCCATCACACCTGAGAGAACTGAACCTCAGTGGGAATCAAATAAAAAACACAGGAGTGAATCACTTATGTGACTTACTGAAGGAATCGCACTTTAAACTGGAGAGATTGAGGTGAGAAACATTCACATACAAGAATCAAAATGCTCAAAAATCACATCAAAAGTTTAAATAAAAGCACTTTATACTCTATCCATTTATCATAAAGGCCTGAGTATTTTGTGATCTGGTAAAGCAAAGATTAGGGATGCACTAATATTACTTTTACCAGAACAAAACTAACACTTTCAATTTTGGTAATCGATTTTGCATTATGATTGCTGATACCTTTTCAGAATCAGAAAGAGCTTCATTTAAAAGTTTGCTTACACACACAAGTAATTTTACTTGGTAATGGAGCTTCAGGTGTACAAACATAAATATGACAACAAGACATATAATATAAAAATAAGACAAATAATATAAAATAAAATAAATAAAAACAAGTAAGAAGGTAGTTCGGTTAAGTCAGAAAATATTTAAGGATTGTGTACATATTTACAGTATTACGGATAATAATATAAATAATAAAATGGGGTGAATTATTATGTAAATATTTTTTATTTACTTATTATTTACTTCATAGACATCCTTAATCTCTGATATCTCCATTCTGCTCTCTGTTTGTTTCTTTGTCTTGACACAAACACAGTACTGTATATGAGCTGCATGGTTTCAGTTTTTGGTATCAGAGCCTTTTAATAAGTATGAGTATACAAGCACAGCATCAAGTCTGATAACGATACTGCATCCCTAGTAAAGATGATCTCTCCTCCTCTATCTTTTTATTGTGTTTGTTATTGAGATGATGTGACAGCATAAAGAGTTTTATTTTCTGTTCTCTCACTCTTTCCCAAAATAGGTTAAGGTGTAATTTGACAGATGAAGGTTGTTCTGCTGTGACTTCAGCTCTGAAATCAAACCCATCATACCTGAGAGAACTGGAGCTCAGTGAGAATAAACTAGGAGACTCTGGAGTGAAAAACCTCAGTGATCTACTGATTAACCAAAAATGCAAGCTGGAGAAACTAGAGTTAGTATCATTATACTGTACAGCAGCTACAGTGTGAATAATGTATACTGTTAAATTATTAATTTCAAGACAGCACTGCCAAAGATACTTTGTTCATACTGTAGCATTGCATCTGTACTGCAACTGCATTTCCCGTTTGGTCTCTATTAATATTAGGCGTTTAGCTAGTAATTGCATTTAATTTAAAACATTTGATAAAATATAATATATGCAGAACAAAATGTATGCTATCAGTATGAGTATATTATGAGATTCACATTTGGTGTAACAATAGACATGAAAGAATTTATTTAAAAAAACAACAACCTCGGAACTCAAAAACTGTTCCAAACTATTAAATACAGACAACGGCTACTGCTTACTGTAGTTCTTTAATAAGATGGCCATCATGGATCTGAATCATTATCTTTTCTCTTTCTGTCTTCAGCCTGTCTAAATGCACTATTACAGAGGAACAGAGTCTCATCCTGACTCCAGCTCTGAAATCAAACCCATCACACCTGAGAGAACTGGACCTCAGTATGAGTCATATAAAAAACACAGGAGTGAATCACTTATGTGACTTACTGAAGGAATCACGCTGTAAACTGGAGAGATTGAGGTGAGAAACATTCACATACACCGCAAAGCATATGTTTCAGTGTTTAAATGAAACAGAATAAAGAGTTTGTTTCTCCCATTTTGCCGAATGCAGGTTGAGATGCTGTGATATAAAAGTTGAAGATTGTTCTGCTGTGACTTCAGCTCTGAAATCAAACGCGTCACACCTGAGACAGCTGGAGCTGAGCGGGAATGAACTAGGAGACTCTGGAGTGAAAAACCTCAGTGATCTACTGATGAACCCACAATGCAAGCTGGAGAAACTAGAGTTAGTAACATTATACTGTATAGCAGTTACAGTGTGATTAAACTTTATTATGCTGAAAGCTAATGTACTGATGGTATCAGCAGAAAGAGCATTAATCTTTGAAGCATTTGAAAAACGTTGTGGTTATAAAATACTGACAAATCTTTGCTGCAAAAAGAGACAGATTTGAGAACAGAACAACTGTAATATGAATGACTGGATTATTCATGGTTGTTACTGGACTAATGGTTCTTTTCACTAAATCAATTTTTATTAAACAAGATTTTAATTTTGTGATGGTCAACTACACTTTTCTAAATTTTTAGTTGTGTACAATTTTTTCTAACCCCAACCCTAACCAACATGAAAATAGTCAATTTAATATTTTTCCAATGAGCTCTGTGTTGATACTATATCTCAATCTACATTTATTATGTCTAAGTGTGAAGATGCTCCAGAATTCTGTTTTCTAGTAACTAGTATTCTCAAATCCTAGTTATGCTCCTGTCTTGCACCCTTAACAAATAAAAGTTCCAAAAGGGGTTTTCATCGTGATGCCATAGAAGAACATTTTGCGTTCCCCAAAAGAACAGTGAACAGTTCTTAAAATAACCACTTTATTACTTCATGTGAAGAACATTAACAAATCAGAAGAACGTTTTCCACTCTAAAGAACCTTTTGTGCAGTGGAAAGGTACTATATGGATGTTAAAGATTCTTCATGGAACCATCAATTCCAATAAAGAACCTTTTAAGAGTGTGTTTTATTGTCGTACAATTACTGTAGGTTTCCTGGTATATTAGTTACTGTATGGCATTTACTGATGATGCATTTATTTCACGCATGAACTTAACATGAATCTGAATCATTGTTCTTTATCTTTCTGTCTTCAGCCTGTCTAAATGCAGTATTACAGAGGAACAGAGTCTCATCCTGACTTCAGCTCTGAAATCAAACCCATCACACCTGAGAGAGCTGGACCTCAGTGGAAATCAACTAGGAGACTCTGGAGTTGAAAAACTTGGTCGTCTGCTGAGCAGTAAACAATGCCACCTGGAAAATCTGAAGTTAGTAACAGTATACTGAACAGAAGTCACAGTGTGATTTAATTTTACAATGAAGTTAATTATTAAAGACAACAGGGCCCAATTTTATAATTTATAGCAGTGCACCTTCAGGCATTTTCCCATTTGCAGAAAGATTCAAAAGTACTATGAGCTATTGGACTGATGGTTCAGTAGAGAGTTTCATATACTGAAATCTGACAAACACTTTGCTGCAAAATGAGACAAAAGTGAGAAAAGACAAAAACTCTCATAGCATGAGTGACAACAACAGATTATTCTGACAGAGCTACATGTTTTCTACAACACTAATGGTATTTCAAATCTAAAAGGGGTTATGATATGCATGTTTCTGGAGGTTAGCTTATGAAGTTAACATTTTTTTGCAACAAAAAAAGTTTTCACTTAGTCACTGTAGTCTAGCTCAGTATCACATGTAAACCATGTAAATCATGACATCAGTACAGAAAATGTGTACCATTCGTAGAAAAATTGGACAAAAAAACACATACTTCTGGGTGGCCTTATTATCAAGTTAAGTACATGTCATCATATACAATGAAAGAGTAAGATGCTGCTTATGTATAACAAATATGCGAATATACAGCTCACTAATTAGAGGTCCATAATTAGGGTCTGTATAAAAGGTGTTTATTGTGTTAACTGGTTTTGAGAATTACACACCTGGCATTGCTCGAGGATCTGCACACATGTCTTTAGAGAGCGTCATACAAGGGTTAAAGCAAAAAAAAATCCGGAGCCTGAACTTTTGTCCGGGGGCGGGGGGGCTGATGGGGCAGACTGTTAACATTTGAAAGGATACTATGGCAAAGTTATTGCTTTCCTTATTCAAATTTATTGTTTTCATGAATATATGGTTGACCTGAAGAATGAAAGCTGTATCATACACTCGAAAAATTATGAGCTATATCACCGCTTATCGACACTAGCGGTGTGACAACACACTTAGCTCACGAGATGAGACGAAATACAGATACTTCGTTCACTAGAAAGAGGCAATATTTCAATACTATTTTTAAGAAATTTTCATTGACAAAATACTTGTCTTTTAATTACAAAAAATCACAATTAAAAGAAAATAAATGAAATAAATGAACTTTTCCAAGACATTCTAATTTATTGAGATGCACCTGTAATTACATGGTTTTATTGAACAACACTGTTAAAATACATAATGTAACATGCCTATACATAATATGAACATAACCAACTTAAGTACAATATGTATTATAACAAATACCTGCAGAGGGCGCCAACGGCCTGGTGACGTTTCACTTTACAGCGTGATTAAACCATGTTTAAATCCATTAAATTTTAATATTTGGCCACGTGAAGATTTATTTTATTTTGAAATCATGATGTACAGTAAATGGTATATTTAGAAATAGGTTGATGTATTCTCCTGTGTTGGCAAAAGTTTAAATGATTTACGTTACAAATCTAGTGAGATAATACACACTGTTTCTCCAGATGAACATTAAGCAATTCAAATTCACAGCAAATGCAGAGGAAGAGTTTAGCCCCTTTCACACATACAGTCTTTACTGGTAAATTACCAGCAAGTTACCGTTAAGAGATCACATGTGAACAGGACCTTTTCAAAAATCCCGGTAAATTTGTTCTGGCAATCATATCGTTCTTATGGAGATGACATGATTACTCTGAGCCGCTTACCAAGCTCCGCTGCTTTTTAATTCATTTTTCTATGTAAATATGTGCTAGACGGACATCTTTTGACCATTGCGCTTCTCCATTCATCAGGGCTGCGACTCTGCAATTGGATACTATTATGCGCGTCTCGTGTTTATAAGAGCAAAACATTCTGATTGGCTAGTAATGTTAGTTTGGTTGAGAGTGAAAGCTGAGCTCCTCTCATACCATTGGTAGGCGAACTCATGGAATCGAAAGGGATATCAACAAGTTTTTTTTAAATGTAGGATTATTTTTTTCTGTAGCCAAATGCTGCACGCTGGAGATCCGGCACGGTGCCGGAGAACTTTAAGCCCTGGTCATATGTTTGCTGAGTGACAAAAGGCTGGAAAGGAAATGTTGTGCGGAAAACCCATATATGGAGATGGTGTAGGTTTGTTTTATGCAAATTACTAACCTCAGGCACACGGTTGCTCATTTAAAATACTCTAGAATCACTAACATTAGAAAGAGGTTAAGAACAAATTCATGTGCTTACACGTATTGTGAATTAGGCATAAATTTCATGAGAAGTTCTCCTGTGCATACAAATATGAAATAATCCACAGTTATTAGTGAATGAGACCCAACGTTTTGGTGATTACGTGAGTTGGGCTTTGGCTTTTTAGTGTGGATTATGATGATGATTTGAGTTGAGTACTGCTGTACATGTGGTTACAGGCAGTCATTTTATCAGAGCAAATGTCAAAACCCACCCCCTCCTAAAATAAGTAGCGTACAAACTAAAAAGACGAGTATCTCTAAATAATGTCTTTTGAGCAGGTAACTGTCTTTCACTGTTGTTTTGAACCATTGAAAACAATTACTTTACAATGAATAACATTATATAAGTTGACATAACTGCTAGATATCATACCTGTTGATCTCTGGGTTGGTTTTAACTTCTTTAAAGCAGGGTCAGAAATGACCTCTTCCATTAATTTCCAGGGCCATTTTTTGCCAAATACTCGAACCAATCACTTCAGTCAGTCAAAATATTATAAATTGTTATTAAAAGCAAAAAACAAAAACTTACAAATTGCATGTAAATTATACAAAGGAATAAAAAGGGGGAAAAATTAACTCATTACAAGGTAGGGCTGCAATATTATTACAAAAAACATTATTATTAATGTTGATTAATAGAATACAGTACATAAAAACTTTTGGAGAAACGGCACGTCATAACTGGCTACACAGGCAAAACATATCGGTCCATGATGTTAGTCTAGCACAAGTTATGCAAAAACCTCTTTTATAATCAATGAAGCTGCAAAATAATCTTTTAATTTATGAGTGAAGCATGCAAAATTCATTTGGTCAGTAAGGGGATGCACAATCAACAAAAGTGTTTTCAGCGGTGACTAATCTAAACATCTGATTGGCTACTGTGTTCATAAGATAAACAGAAATGTGTTTGATTGGTTATAAGGCTCATTGCATAAGACATAAACGTGCACAGATCTGAATGTGCTGTGGCAAATTGACTCTCTTCATTCATTTTCACATTTCACTTTAATCGTGACAGCTGTAATAGTTTAGTTGTGCATTTTTTGCACCCTTATCTTGAATTTGTGGGGCATTTTTGTTCATTTTGGGTCATTTCCGCACCTGCTTTAAACCTGTGGGACGTTTGGCACGCATTTTTTGTCTTTTTTCTCTATCAAATCTTTTAGTAATCATCATAAATGATATATCATTTGAAAGCTTAGAAACCCAAGATTCATCCTGTGTAAACCATTTCGAAATCAGACATTGCGTTACCATGGAAATGGTACTTTAAAATCTTTTGGCGGTCTCCTCCCCCTTAGTGAGCGGTGTCAAGTGTCATATTACAAAATGAATTACGGGTCTTTTAAAATCAAAACTTTTTATAATCTTGACAAAAACATATCATTGGAAAGGTCTGCGTCTCAGGATTCCATATTTGGTGGTTATTTTGAGATAGAAAAATGCATTACAAAAAATTCAATGGAGTTTGGATGTCACCCGGTGGCTGTTTGTGGTATAACGCTCTAAATAAAATCTCACAGGAACCTACATTTTTTTCATATCAACTTCAAATTTGGAACATAACTTATTTAGAAATCTCACAGGAACCTAAATTTTTTTCATATCAACTTCAAATTTGGAACATAACTTATTTAGACATAAGGCTATAATTTAAAACCTGATATGTAAAATATGTATTATATATATAAAATATTATAATTTTTATATATAAAATAAAATAAAATTAATATAGTGCATTTTCTTTTTCAGTGAATTTAAACTACTATAACTTTTTGATACTTAAATCTTTTGAAAAAATTCCACTTTTGTTATTTTTCAATTTGCTGATTTTCTTCTTTAAAAAGAGACCAACCTTAGGTCTGTATTCCAAAGTGTTCATAAATTACAACAATTTAAGTTTGGATAGTGCACGTTCATGCCTATTTAAAAAAATGGGGGGTGACAGTTAAGGGGTAGTCTCTCAGTTATCAACATCTCTGAAAGGCCAATTGTTATAGGCTGTCACTTTCCTATTTGACTTGTAAACTTTTCTCTAAACAGAGTTTTTTGACTTTTTTTGTTTTAGTTTTTTCACATTTAGAATGTGAAAATAGTCCATTTGAAATTTTTCAAACATATGATTATTCTTAATTTACATGTATAATTCACTAGCTATTTCTGTCCAACTAAAGATGCTCCAGGCTTGGATTGTAATTGGTATAATCAAATTCTAGTTGTGGATTGCTTTATGGTTCTGTAATTAAGATTTCATGTTTTGGCTGGTATGGCATTTAGTCATGATGCATTTAACACACATGGATCTGAGTCATTGTCTTTTCTCTTTCTGTCTCCAGTCTGTGTAGATGCAGTATTACAAAGAAACAGTGTCTCATCCTGACTCCAGTACTGTGTTTGAACCTTTCATACCTGAGAGAGCTGGACCTCAGTGGGAATAAAATAGAAAACAAAGGAGCTGAGGTCTTGTGTGAAATACTGAAGGATTCGCATTGTAAGCTGGAGAAATTGAGGTGAGTAACATTCAACTGAAGGTATCAAAGTGCTTAAACTAACTTTAACATTGCAATTTAACCAAAACACATTTACTCAATATCGTATGAAGAGCCTGACTTCACATTATATTTGTGGAAAATAATTCCTCCTAGTTGATGTGTTTTGTGATCTGATGAAAGCAGAGTCTAAAATAAACACCCGCCAGGTACCAAACACAGGTACATTTTGGCCAATAATTTTTTTACATAAATATATCATTTTCTAAAACCTGCAAAACCTTCTCTCTCTTCAATTGTGCTATTATTTTTCTTTATTATCTATCATTTAGTGATTTTTAAATTGCACTGTTGCCTTTATTTATATTGTACACAATTGTATTTACAGTATTTAAAATAAATGGGTCTTTTTATTAATTGACTGGTAAGAATTGTCACTGGCTGGTAATTTTTTCATCTATCATGCAGTAATGTGTGGTCATATTTACCTTTGCACAGTTCGCAACATTTCTTTGCACCAAAAAAGTTTAAATATTTGAACAATTTTAAATTTTTCATCCTCATTTTCACACTGTTTAGTCAAAAACTCCAGAAATCCAGAAGATTTGGCTATTTAATGTTTAAGGAATTAAACTGCAAGTTACTTTCAGAGAAACAATGGGTGTCATTCACAAAACATTCATACACACAAATAGGGATGCAGCGATTAACCAGTTTCCTTAATAGTAAAGGCTCCGCTAAACCGCGTGTTTCTGTTGCACGGAACGAAACTGTTGCAACTTGTGCAAAACGAAAACAAAGTTACTCCAGCGGTGCGCCAGCTTAAAGTGCCATGCTTATCAGAGACACGCCCAAGTAAAGGTAATACATAATAACGAAGTTAAATTATGTGGCAAGTTACTTGAATGTGCACATTTTCAAGTGTTTGTGTGGAGTATGAAAGCTAAACATTGAGGCGCCAGTGAGATTACTTGCACTGAAAAAAGACATTTTTGGTCATACAGACAAAAATAATTACATCGTTCAAATCTGTTAAGGGTCTACATTTGTTTGTCTACATTCACAGTAACAACTAAACGCTGTGCGCAGTAAAATAATGAAACCAAACAGGATACTATTTCTGCTGTCTTGCTTCTTGTGACCTTGAGTGCGTCAGAAATAAACCCAAACTCTGTTGCCTCACAGATATGAGAAATACAGTACATCTATAGAACGCAAAATGTTTTAATAATGAACCAATTTAAATAGAAAACAAATATTCTCAGATTATGTAATCCGTATGAAATGTATATTGCGCATCCACTGCAAAAATGATGATTAAGCATCTGAATCGCTTTTTAGTTTATCAATAAATTATTAAAATGGTATGGTAGTCTCCTTGCTGAGGCCGGACATGTAATTGAGGGGGACTAGGCCCCCTTGTCTCTATGCTACTGGTCTTATATTAATAATAATACTTCAATATTATAGAAATATAACTGTTAATGTAATTAAATATTGAAAATCATTGAACGTCCAGTCAAAATTCATCTTGGTATGGATTTTTTTTTCTTAGTCACTTTTAGCAATAAATAGCACTTTAAAATATAAAGAGTGTTTATGTGATTTTATACACAAGTAGTAAATATCACACTCTGGGTGAAAGTAAAAATGACCTTTGTTCTTATTCCTCTGTCTGTCTGTCATTGTTTTTCTAGCCTAAATGACTGTGGCATTACAGATGCTGCTTGTTTGTCTCAGTCTTTGACTGGAAAGAAAGCACTGGAGTTTTTAACAGAGCTAAATCTGAGTCAAAATAGCATAGGAAACTCAAAGGAGCAGCTCATTAAAGTGCTACAAAACACAAACTGTAAACTGAGGTGAGTAAACTTTTTGTCCTAGTCACCCTAACACAACCAGACGAACATAAATGTATTTTTGTTTCAAATCCAAATATGGTTTTAAAATATGTATGCAAAATTATGTAAATTCAGTAACTAATCTGATTACAGGATTTCAATGACACTTCACACTGAAAGTGATTGAAATATAGTTACTCATTTGCAACTTGTTTTCACTCAACATTGATTTTTTTCTTCTGATTCCTCCATACAGACTAGACAGTCAACAGATGGAAGATGGAAGAACTCTGATTGGAAGTGGTCTAAACTTCATCGGTGGTTGGCTTCCATTCTGGTCAAAAGCTCAGGAACCTGTGAAATCAACAGCACAAGACCTGCCATCATCATCAGATGAGGAATCCACAGAAGGTTCTCACTATAGTACAGTGATAAATGAATATGTGTGATGATGTGATGTCTGTAAGCAAAATCTAATATGTTCATTATATATTGAAATATGAACTGCAAGTATCAGCACAAAAAAATGAAAATCAAAGCAGAACGGTTGTTCCCTTTCAAGGGAACTTTGAACTGCATCCTCTAGGGGTCGCTATGGGGAATGCCTCGTCGTGACCCGAGTCTGAAGCATACATTGAAAAAACACCAACTCGTTGGCCGGCGACAGCCATGACGTCACTACCGGTGCGACTATACACATCATTCTCTTCTTCATCTTCACTGACTGTTTTGTTTGAAGCGTGCATTCCATGGTAAGAGCGATCTTTCTTCCTTCATTATGGCGAGCACTAGCAAGAAGTTTAGAGGATGTGTGCATCTGTGTCGTTGTTATTTGACACCTGATAACACACATGATCTTTGCGTCTTTTGTTTGGGCGAAGAGCATGCACGCGATGTCCTCGAGGGGGCAAACTGCGTTCACTGTGAGCGTTTTCGATGAAAAAGCTCCGCTCTCATTTGCCTCTCTTTTCGAGGAGACTGGGGCAGCCATCTGCTCCCCACGGTTCAGGACCCACCGCTGCTGAGGCATGGAGGAGAATGAGCTTGTGGGGATCGCAGGCGGATCTGGCCAACGAGTTTAAAGAGGGGCTTTCTCTCTCACGCTCGTTGGCTGTGGACGAGAGTGAGCCGCTGGAGGATGATGTTATTTCATTAACATCGTCTGATCCGGGGGCCAGTGCCCTGCTGGGTTCAGCCTAGGAAGAGCAGGAGATGTCTGAGGACGGCGAAGAGGCTGAGCCTTCCCAATCCTCCTGGGCCATGAAAGTGACGTCGCGAGGTTGTCTCGATGAGCATTATCTTTCTGACCATAGCCCTCCAGCTCAGGTGAGCCTTCCTTTTCTTCCTGATCTCCATACAGAGCTCGAGAAGGAATGGAAGAGGCCGTTTTCCTCACGCATCCATCGGTTCCAGCATACGAGTTATGCCAACATCGAGGGGATGCGCGAAAGCAGCTATGAGAGGATGCCCCCTGTAGAAGAGACGCTAGCCAGCTATCTCTCTATGGGTGAGACATCTTCTCTTAAAACTCCCTCCTTGCCATCTAAGCCCCTTCAGATTACATCTCGCTTGAATGGCAGGGCATACGCAGCAGCAGGTCAGGCAGTTGCTTCGTTGCACACGATGGCGGTGCTCCAGGCATATCAGGCTGACCTGCTGAAAGACCTGGATAAAGGCGATGCGCTGCATCACGGCTCTCGCTCTCCATGCTACTAAGCAGGCCGCCTCTGCTATGGGCAGGTCCATGGTGGATATGGTGGTGACGGAGAGACATCTGTGGGTGAATACTTGAGTAACTACTCATTTCCTTCGGGGGGTTTAACATCTGCCCTTATCTTCCCCTTCCTAATTCCCCTGTAACCACCATCTCTCCACCCGACCGAGGTGCATTACAGTTTCCTATGCTGGACCTATGATGTTTTGGTTGGTTCTATGGCTTCATAGTGACCACCTTATTGATGGTCCGGACTAGAGACTTCTTTGGGTCACTTCTTGAACGGGGCTCCTGCGCGGGAACCATGGTGGGTGAGTACAATCCATTTTAATAAATATATATATTTAATACACTGGTGGTTGTGTGTATTCCATCTGTGAGCTTTCTTTGCAGTGTTTTCCGGGACCTGTGTGTTTCTGTCCTTTTCTAGGGTAGGTCCTCATTGAGCGCCCCCTCTGCTGGATTCAGAAACCGGGTGCTCGACTTGCAGTGATTACCTCACTCGTCGATGTTGTATCCAGTCGGTATGATAGCCCTGGTTCCGGCTTCATGCTTCCTGGATCATGCGACCAGATTACAGGCTTCTGCGGGAGCCTTCTTGATCATCAGGCCCCTGGCACAGCACTGCAAAATTTCCTGGACGTACGGGCTGGACTTATGCTTTCAGGCTGCTCTATCTGGTACACCGTATCTAGGTCACCCTGAGGGGCTTCCTGGTCACCAGGATATCCCCTCTTGCTGAGACATCGAGCGGGAAATATAGGTGGCATTTGCGAGAACCTTCTTGTGAAATGCTGTCTCAGGCAGTGCTCCCCTCGTCTCAGAGGGTTATCTTTGAGCCTTGCCTCTCCCGTTTGGCTCAGTACTTCCGGGTATCTGTGAGCAGATGCTTGGGAAGCTCTTAAATCCATGCTATGGTAAGTGCACACGCTAAGCTTTGTGCACTTTCTGAAATCCACATGGTGGTAAGTGTGCACGCTAAGACTCTGCGCACTTTCTGAAATTCTGTATGGTAAGGGTTACAGGTTATTAGCCTCTTTCCCTTTCTCTGAGTTGGCTTAGACCACGGTACTCGTCTTGGGCTCCACTCAACCAGTGTTTCTTTGTTGAAACACTTTTGAAGCATCGCTACCCTCACCATTGAGGGTTATTGTGAGCATGGTGCTTTCTTTCAAGCGTTTGAATTCTCTCCTTTCTGAGGAGTTGGATTCCTCGCTCCGTGGGCTGTTCTCGTGGTAGTGTTTAGCAGTGCTCCCCTTTATCAAAGGGTTGCCTATGAGCACACTACTCCTTTCTGAATTCAGAGTTCTCCTCTCACGTGAGAGTTGAGTTCTCTGTTTTTCCCAGAGCACCTGGAACAGGCAACATCAGGCGAACTAGGCCCTTCCTCTGCCTCCCTGGTGCGCTGAGTTTTTGGCTAAGCTTGCAGTACGCTTTCTAACGAACATGCTGTAGGTCAAGCCCCCTATCAACTGAGAGCTGGGTGTGTTGATCCCTCAGCTAGGTAACTTGCTGCTAGCCATTCCAGCATTACCATACCATAGATTACCATAGATCGAGCTGATGGCTTCTCGAACATTTTGTTCTGGTGATCATTTCCATCTATGGGCTGCTCTTTCAGAGTACCACGAGGGCCCCTTAGGACGGTATCTTTAAAATCCATGTTATGGTAAGTGTGCACGTGAAGTCTTTTTACACTTTCTAAAATCCACACTGTGGTAAGTTTCACGCTAGTACTTTGCGTTCTTTCTAAAATCCTGTATGGTGAGGGTTACGTGCGGCAGCTTGGTGCCCTTTCTTGAATTGGTTAAAGCCCTGGTTCCACCTTGGGCACCACTCCTCCTATGTATCCTCTGGATACCTACTTTAACAGGGTATTGCTACTAGGGGTCTGTTGAGACAGTTCCTTCAGCAAGCTCATGCAGAGTATGCGGTAGCCCCTGTGTGACAGTCCAAGACTAGTATGATGCTAGGCTCTTGGTCGTATCCCCTTAAAGGAATCTATTCCTGATTCCAAGCCTTGAGCTCTACCCCAGGCCCAGGAGTCTGGCCCTAACAGGTAAGTTTTTTGGGGTATGTAGCCTAGGCCTTTGGCCATAGGGGATAATGTCACGGACAGCCATCTTAACGTCCTAGGGGCAACTCCCATGGCTATGGTAGAGTTGGTTCTTAGTGCTCACCATAGGTTTCTGGCATGCACTCCCCTCAGCATGGCGGCGTGGGTATATCGTTCCCCATAGCGACCTCTAGAGGACGCAGTTCAAAGTTCCCTGGAAAGGGAATGTCTCGGGTTACTTATGTAACCATGGTTCCCTGAGTAGGGAACGAGACACTGCGTCCTCTAGGTTTCTTGCCATGCTGCGGACGCAAGCTTCAGACGAAGAAGTGAATGATGTGTTCTCCCGGCGCCTATTTTATTTACACCGCTAGTGACGTTATGGCTGTCGCCGGCCAACGAGTTGTTGATGTTTTTTGAATGTATGCTTCAGACACGGGTCACGACGAGGCATTCCCCATAGCGACCCCTAGGTCTCATTCCCTACTCAGGGAACCATGGTTACATAAGTAACCTGAGACGTTTTTGGTGAGATGTTACTAAACATCAACTCATAAATACAAAAACTATGCAAAACCTACATCAATAATGAATTCAGTATGTTTATACACACACACATGCATTTTTTTTTGATAACCAATTTAAACAGCCCAAATAGCATTGCTTTAACAAATGTAAATGTTATATATTTGTTATATATTACTATTTTAAAATGATTACTAATGCATACATGTGGAAGAGGCTCAGATTTACTAATTAATGCAGCATTAATAGAAACCTGTATATGTGAGTAATGTTAACTATTTATTGTTGGTTTAGTATTAATACACATGGTGTTTTTTACAGGACAGTAAGCAGAAGAGGCTGATGAGCTGAAATATGATTCCACAATTTAAGTCACCAGTCACCAGTCCAGATAGTCTATCTTATGCTTTGTTTAGTGATTTTTAATATTCTCTTGTACTGTAATTGGTTGGCTTATTTGTTGACCGTAGTTGGACTCATCTCAGGAGGAGATAAAACAGCTTACAGAGATTAAATTCAGAGACTGACAGAATGGTGCATGGCAAATAACCTGGCTCTGAATGCTTCTAAAACCAAAGAGCTCATCATTGACTTCAGAAAGCACAACACGAACTTCACACCATTGCACATCAGCAGGGTCTGCATTGAGAGGGTCCCGGCCTTCAGATTCTTGGGAATGAACATTGCTGAGGATCTTTCCTGGAGCACAAACACTTCAGCAGCGGTCAAAAAAAGCACAGCAGTGACTCTATTTCTTGAGGACACTGAGGAAGAACCATCTACAAGAGCATCTGCTAGTGTCCTTTTATTGCTAAAACATTATAGAGTAATTACTTAGAGATCTCTTGTTATGATCTTCTCGTGTTAATTGACAGCTGTGATTGAATTACTTTCAGACTATGAATGCTAAAAGACTTTGTCATTTTGTAATATAGCATAACTGCAGTCGAGCTGTAATCACGTACAGATCTGTTGTCGTGGAAACAGGTGATATTTATGATCAGACTGCAGGGTTGTGATTTAATAGTAACCGAACCGTACAGATTAGTTTAATCATTTGTGTGAACTATAGAAGTGTAATTTGCACTTTAAACAATGTGATTATCGTGTATTCCATAGCATCTAATCTAACACCACAGTAACCGTATAGATAATTCCAGTCAGTAGGCTATATAGGTCACATTTGTTTAGATAGTGTTTCGTTTTGCCTGCTTTGATGCATATCAGTGCATATTTGTAATTTGTTTCTGTCATTTCTTTCTTTCTAGAAGCACACGCCCATACACTTTCACACTGAGATACTAATGCTTATACACTCAACTGTACATTAAACACTGTTCCAGTTTGCAGTGAGGTCTGTGAGTGGTGTATGTGCTCAAATTCCTGCTAATAAATAGACACAAATGATTGTTCTAACCGGACAATCCTCAATGCTTGCCACCGGAATATGTATAACCACCTAAGAGTGTAACATTGTTTACATGGTCCTTCGTTACACTATTCGTCTTTTCAGTTTTGTTAGAGAATCAATCTAATGTGATATAAACATCCCATTCCATTTTTATTATTTAAAAAAATAAACAAAGAAATGCACATAAATACCACATGAAAATGCAAATATATGTAAAGTACGAAAAAATAAAACCGAGATAAATGTACAGATTTGCAAGCAACAAATAGCACATACTCCAAATGAGTGCAACGTCATATAGCTGAGTTTTTGTTTATTGATTTTTGTTGTTTTATATGAAACATGGTTTATTAAAGACTATAATGAAATAAATGCTGTTAGGAGATTTATTTATGAATTGTGCATATCATGTAGTTTGCCTCACGACTGAAATGAGCTGTAACGAATCAGCTCATGGGAAATATGAATAATTAATCATAACTAGTTATAATTAATTATGAATATTTTGGATCCGCTGTAGATATTTAGCTGACCTCTCAGGGTCAACTGTCTTGTCAATTCTAAGAACGTTAATTTCCTGGTTAAGGGAAATAACTTTCTTACTGTACAATTCTACAAAAGCTTGTAGCATAAATCTGCATGATTAAGTGACTCCAGATATGAGCAAACAATGAACCACGTCAAGTGTGATACAAGTAAGGTTTTATTAACTACATAAACACTTAAACTAGTCTAACATACTACATAAACACATAAACTGGTCTAACATCCTACATAAACACATAAACTGGTCTAACATACACACACACACACACACACACACACACACACAGTTTGTATAGGTAGGAAAGGGTTAAAGCTTAACTCAGTACAGAAAGAGAAATAAGGACTATGAAGTTATAGAACCATTTGCATATTCAGCAGATCTACACCTAAGGGAAATGTCAGATTCTTAGTTCAAACACACCTTCGTAAAAAGGTGTAACTGATACTTAATATATCAATTAATAAGACTAAGTTTGATACTTGCAAGTCTCATCTGTCTGAAAGAAAGGCTTGATGCAATCTGAAAGTCCCAGTGATCTTGCTGAAGTTGGTCGATGAAAAGAAAGAACCAGTTTTGAGTCTGAGAATCTTGATGAATGGAAAGGTCGAGGCCGAAGCCTGGCACGAGCTTAGGGTTTCCGGGTGCGTTTTTCTCACATCCTCTCAGAATTACAACAAACCACCGGCTCCTGGGCGGGTCCCTGGAGCGGGGCCTTTAAGGTCTCGGAAGAGTCACG